TTTCTGAAGCATCAAAAGAAATTGAAGATCTTGTAAAAGCAAATGTGCAAACAAGAAAGGAGTTTGAAGGATTAAATCACAACAGTGAAAACAATACTACAAATTGTTCAAAGCAAAAAGAATTACAAAAGCAAGTTTTAACTGGAGAAATTACACCATTTCAAGCAATTGAAAAACAATCTAATTCATCCAGAACTAAAGGGTATATAATATGATAAAATTGTTATAGGTAAAAATAAAGAAAACTTTATTAAAAATTTCTTTTTTAGAACATTCAATAAATCTTCTCATTTGCTTGATCTGGAAAAGTACCTTCAACAACAAGCTGAACTTGCTAAACAAAGGAAACAATTGAAAGAAAATTCAAAAGCATCCAAACATAATAGTAATCAAGCAGTCCCAATTAAAAAAATTAAATTATCAAATACTAACTCTAAGGAATGTAAACTTGTGGAAAAAGTAAAGCCCAAAGTAAATAAAAAAAAGTTACTTTCAGAACTTGAAACAGCAAAACACTTGAATAAAAATTATGATGTTAATTGTAAAACAAAAGGTGCAAAGTCTAATCATGTTGACAATTCTACCAAAGAAATCAGGAATTCTAAAAATTTATTAACTGTTTGCAATATTTCGAAAGATAATACTAAAGAAACAGTGGTTGAAAATACAGCAGAGAGTAAATGTATAAATACAGCAAGTGATTCTGGAAGTGAATATGTTCCAAGTGATGAACAGATTGATTCAGGTAAAAATTGCACTTAATTTCCAGTATTTATTAAACCTTATCAAAAAAGTATTTAATAACTTTTTTTAATTGTACAGAAGATGAGGAACCATCATCTAAAAAAAGAAAATCTGTTACAAAAACTGTTCATACAAAGAGAGGTATAAAGTATGATTCATTAGAATGAAATTATACATTTCATTAACAAAATTTGTTATTTTTAGTTTTGGATGATGGAGATGAGGAAATGTATAGACAAAGGGTAAAAGAAAGTAGATATCCAAAGAATGAACCACTACATAAAATAGATAATTTATTCAAAGTTCCACAGTCTATATGGAAAAAATTATATAAGTATGAATGAAATTATATTAAACCAAATTTATTATTATTTTTTCATCTAATTTAAAAATATTTTCTAGATATCAAAGGGTGTCTGTGCAATGGCTGTGGGAACTGCATTCTCGCGCTTTAGGAGGATTAGTAGGTGATGAAATGGGATTGGGAAAGACTGTTCAAGTAATTGCATTTCTTGCAGGTTTAGATTCTAGTGAATTACTTTCTGATGGTGGAAGGTAAACTTTCTGACTATAATTTAGTTTTCCTTTAATTGATTTTCCTTTTATAGAAATGAATTGTCATTTATAGATTCAGAGGATTAGGACCAACTATTGTTATTTGTCCAGCTACACTAATGGAACAGTGGGTGAAGCATTTTCATGAATGGTGGCCCATTTTGAGAGTAGTTGTTTTACATCAGTCTGGAACTTACAATGGTACATATAAAATCATATTTTACAGAATACGAATATATTTCCTTTGTATTCTTAATAAATATATTTACAGGTGATTTAGAATATCTAATGCACTCTTTAAAATCCGGTGGTATACTGATTACTTCTTACTCTGGTATGCTTAGGCATAAAGATTTACTTATAGCCAGTCAATGGCACTATATTATACTTGATGAAGGTCATAAAATAAGAAATCCACAAGCAAAGGTACTTTGTCTTGTGCGACTACTTTACAATTACATATGAAAATAATTATAATCGCATTTTAACAGGTCAGTAAAGCAGTAAAGGAGTTCTCAACGCCACATCGACTTTTATTAACTGGTAGTCCCATGCAAAACTCTTTAAAAGAACTATGGTCTCTCTTCGATTTTATTCTACCAGGAAAATTAGGCACTTTGCCTGCATTTCTAGAGCATTGTGCAAGTCCTATAACTCGTGGAGGATATGCAAATGCTAGTCCTTTACAGGAAGCTACTGCACTTCAGGTTGCTACAATGCTTAAAGAAGCTATATCACCGTACATGCTTAGAAGAACGAAAAACGACGTGCAACATCACGTTAGTTTACCAGAAAAGAATGAACAGGTTTGTAATATTGTTATTTTACTTCTAATAATAACTTGTAATGTTATGTTATAATTTGTTTTAGATATTATTCTGTAGTTTAACGGAAGAACAAAAGAAACTGTATAAGAAATATTTAAGATCTGAAGATGTTAGTTATGTCTTACATGAAAGAAGTCATACGGAAACCGGAAGATACAGAGCTCGCCTTTTAATAGCGTTATCAGCGCTCAGAAAAATATGTAACCATCCTGATCTATTTCTTTACACAAATCCAGTTGTAAGATTTTGATTTTACATTTCTAAAATATTATAATGCTCATTATATTTAATTGAGCCCATATTTAGGATTCTGACGAGGATCTTGATGTATCAGAAGAATCCTTGGAGAAATTTGGCTTTTGGAAACGTTCTGGGAAAATGACCGTGATTCGATCTCTTCTTAAAATTTGGAAAAAACAGGGGCATAGAGTATTACTTTTTACACAAGGAAGACAAGTACGTAAGTCACGTTACTTGTCAAAAATTTAATATATAAAAAGAAACGAATAACCAAGTTTAATTTTCAGATGATGCATATATTAGAATCTTTGGTGCAAACCGAAGAATATATTTATTTAAGAATGGACGGAACTACTCCTATGTCTCAAAGACAAGAAACAATTTGTTTATTTAATAATGTATATGTATTAAGAAAAAAATATATATATATCTTTTTAAATTCATCAGTATTTGACATTTTTTTTAATAATTCAATTTTTCTGTATAGGATTCATCTTACTTTGTATTTTTACTAACTACACGTGTTGGAGGATTAGGAGTAAATTTGACCGGAGCAAACCGGGTAATAATTTATGATCCAGATTGGAATCCAGCAACAGATGCTCAAGCGAGAGAACGTGCATGGAGAATTGGACAAAATAAAAGAGTCACCATTTACAGGCTTATTACTGCTGGTACCATAGAAGAAAAAGTAAAATTTTAATTATCTATATACATATTTCAAAATATTTCTATATGTAATACAAATTTTCATTTCTATAAAATAATTCTATTCCGTTCTAGATATATCACAGACAAGTATTTAAGTTACTTCTTTCAAATAAAGTATTAGAAGATCCACGTCAACGTAGATTATTTAAAACTTCTGATTTAGTTGAACTTTTTAATTTGAATGAATCTATAGATGGACATTCCAGTGAATCTGATCAATTATTTCGGGAATCTAGACTAACTCCGCCGACTACGAAATTTTCATCTAACAAAATTGAAAAAATGCGAAAATTGGCAGCTACGCTTAGCAAAAATATAAGCCAAAATACTTCAAATTCTACAGTGACAACACAAACTGCAAATGTTTCAGAAAATATTTGTACCTCGAGTTGCCATAATAATAAGGTTAATCAAGATATTTTACAAAATAATAATAAAATATCTGAAAACAGTGTACCAAAACAAAATATTCAAACTGAAAATCAGCTCCACGAAAAAGACGAAAATGAGGTTCTTTCTGAAAATCAGAAAAGTACTAATGAAGCAAAAACAGAGGAAAATGAAATTTTAACGAATGCTGAACATACTACAGAAAATAATTCAAAAATAGATGACAAAGTAGAAAGTGAAAATCATATGCCAACAAATAGTACATGGTGTGATAGTAAAATGGATGTAATTTCAAATGAAGTTACTGTACAAAATTCATCTGGTGATTGTAATACCGTTAAATTATCGCATAAAAGTGTCGAAATGGTTTCGAGTACTACGAATGAAGATATGTCGTTAAAATTAAATACAATGCATCATACGCATAAGCAAAATAAGAAAAGTTCACGGTTACAAAAATCTACTACTTCAGCCCTATTCGAAGGAGAACGTATTTCGCATTTAATTGGACGACGTCTTGGATGTTCAGAAACAAATGAACCTAAGTCGATGGAAGATGATCAATACGTTTTGCAGAAACTATTCGCTAAAGCGAGTAATTATTTTCTTTTTATACAAGAATTTTCCTTCTATAGAATTACTATCTCCAGATAATGATAAAATGTATAAAATATTTTTTTGTA